TTTAAGTCCCCCAGTCATCTACCAACATGTGAATAGGAAGAACACATCAAATCCTCCACAGATAGACCGAAACTAATACCCTTTTCAAAACTCTACCCAGCTGTAGTGTGTTAAAAAAAATAAGGCAGGAGTGGTTGCTAAATTTCAGCTGTCATTCATTATTTTTTTTTGTTTTTTTTACGAGACAGGGTTTCTCTGTATTGTTTTGGAGACTGTCGGTCCAGCCTGGCCTCAAACTCACAGAGATCCACCTGCCTCTGCCTCCCGAGTGCTGGGATTAAAGGCGTGTGCCACCACCGCCCAGCAATTCATTATTAAGAATGTAAATATTTCCCAAGTAAACTACCAGGTAACACTGTTTCTAGTCTTTAAAGCACTGGAGAAATTACTCCTAGGTGTTTTCCCCCTCTAAAACCAAATCTGAAAATAAAAATATACAAATCAAGGAAAATAAGAATGTGTTATTAGCACACAAGTGATGTCATTGAACTAGAAGGAAAACCATCCTACCCATTAGAACACAATCTGTAAAGAGTCACTTACCTTTAATCTTGCAACAAACAATTATGGCACACCATAGAGAATATTTTTCTTCTGACACGTAATTGTGTTGCACATGCTGTGGTGTGGTAAATACAGTGAATTCACATTAGGCTCTCCTTTTCTTCACAGCACGGTTCCAACAGAGTAAAAGTTACCAGCACCATTAACCTTTTGAGCCAGATATTGGACAGGGCTCAACCCCTACAAGGAGTCATCATGTAGTTGCTTGTCAACACCTGTGGTCTCTATCCACCAAATGCCTGTGGAACTCACACCAGATGTAACAAAAAATGTATCTAGACGTGGCTAAATATGGAAAGATTGTCCCCTCTTGAGAATCAGAGCTTTTGCAAAATATGGCTGCCAGGGAGAATGATTGCAAACAAAAGCATCCAGATAAAGCCCAGAAGTGGTGGCCCAAGCCTTTAATCCCAGCAGAGGCAGGTGGATCTCTGTGAGTTTGAGGACAGACTGGTCTACTGGTCTACAAAGTGAGTTCCAGGACAGTCAAGTCAGGGATACACAGAGAAACCTGTCTTGAAAAGCAAAACAAAAGGGAAAAAATACAGATAAAAACAATGATCTCTTTTTCTTAACAGTAGTCTTCTGGTTTGGTATAGGCCAAAATACTTCTTGATGCTACTAACCTATGGCCATTTTAAGATGAAACACCTTAGCCAGGCGTTGGTGGTGCACGCCTTTAATCCCAGCACTCGGGAGGCAGAGGCAGGCGGATCTCTGTGCATTCAAGGCGAGCCTAGTCTACAGAGAGAGTTCCAGGACAGCCACCAAAACAATACAGAGAAACTCTGTCTCAAAAAACCAAAAAAAAAAAAGATGAAATACCTTCTATTCCTAAACCTAAACTGAAGTGAATGAAGTGCAATTAAGACAATTTACGAAGAACAAAATGGAAATAATTCTGACTAATCATCTCTCCACATTCCCCTTAAAAACAAAACAAAACAAAAAACTGGAGTACTTACCATGTGCCAGACATAGTACTTGGTATTCAAGAAATAGTCATATATCCATTATATTTATTGAATTGAGAACTCTTATAAATAGTTTTTAACAGGTTATTCTTGTGATCTTTGTCAAGGGTTCTTACATATGTCATCAAAAGCATGCACAATACAACAAACAAAAAGTCAATCCATTTGCACTTCATTAACACACACACACATATATATGTATACATAGTTCAAAAAGACCTAAGAGGAAGGGAACCTACAGAATGGAAAATATTTTTGCAAAAGTTTCATAGTGATACGAGATTATACCTAGAATATGTAAGTGATTAATAATATAATAATAAAAGATAAATAGTCTAAATAAAATGGTGAATGAACATGAATATGTATCTCTTTAAGAGATGACTAACAACCATTAAGCATTTTAAAGTAGTCAGCATTAGCATTCATTAAGGAAATTCAAAGCAGAGAAACAGTAAGATACATAAATGCACATGTACTAGAATGGCTACAATTAAATATCCAGATTGTAATAAATGCTGGCAAGCATATGGAGAACCTGGGAGCCTAAGTGTTGAAGGGAATATAAAATGGAACACTTGCTCTGAAAGGCAGGATGGCCATTCTTCAAAAAAAAATAAACCATAGAGTTATATGACCTGGTAATTTCATACAGGTATATGGCCAAGAAAAATGAGAATGTACACAAACACACACACACATACACACACACACACACACACACACACACAGAGAGAGAGAGAGAGAGAGAGAGAGAGAGAGAGCACATAAACCATCATAACCTCATCATCCATAACAGTCAAATGGCCCATCAATGGATAAATAAAATATAGCATATTCACAAAATGAAATTCCATTTTAACATAAAACTGAATGAAGTACTGTACACATAACAACATGAATGAATCATGAAGATCTCATGCTAATTGAAACCAATCAGTCACAAAAGGGCAAATATGTGACCTCGCGTATATGAAATGTTCAGAATAGTAAAATCTACAGGAATTGAAAGTAGATTTGTGGTTGCCTAGGGCAAGCACCAGGAGAGGGATAAGTGGGAGAGAAAATGGGAGCTACTGGACATGACAGGGTTTCTTTTCATCATTTTCAATGATGAAAAAATCGAAAATGAACTGAAGTTATGGATGTATCTGTGAATACACTAAAACTGACAATACACTAAACTGAAAACCATTTATGTTAATATATTTATATAGCATACTTTAAATGGGTGACATATATCATATGACTCATATCTGAATAGAGCTGCTTTGTTCAAAATAGCATTCAAGGTACAGTTTTAAAAAGCCGTCAGCAATTGGATGATGGCTTATTAAGAAAAACATCTTTAGAATGTCCTATCATCTTGTGACAGCTCATTCTTTTTATTGTAAAGTATGAAATGATAATTAAATTCTATTTAAATTACTGAAGATACTCTGGGTAAATACTTAAGAATATGAAAAATTTTAAAGTAAAAAAAAAATAAATTTAAGTGTCAGCATGGGGAAATTTCAGAGGCGTACAACACAGTGAACATTTTAGGAGGCATTAAGCAATTGGGTTCATGTGGGGGGAGGCTGTGAAACAAAAAGAGTTAAATAATCCAAATGAAATTCGGAAGCTTGGAACAACACCTTTACCAGGCTTCAGAGATGCTCAGGAAACAACCTTCCTTCCTTCCCATGCACCATAAACCTTCTTTTTTCAGGATTCTAATATAGACATTCACAGATTTTCTCCAGTAACAAATAGGAAGTGTGCATAACAAAAACAGATTGAAGGCGATATATAAAGAGCTAAACCAGTGCCCAGCAATGGCTACTCCGAAGTTGGACAGTCACCAAGCATTACTGCTTTTTCCAGGGATACATAACAAGATCCTTGAATGTATAGCTAGCCCATAGTTCCACTACTGAGATGATTCAACCTGTGTCATTTCCAGTCCAAAAAAAGTCAGCTTCTATGTTTCTCTCATGTGGTGGGCTGTCTCGATCATGCCACTCTGTCTCATTGCAGAGCCCCTGGTATGCATCGTCGCCACACTCCAAAATTTTCCAGACCTTAAGTATTAACAACGTCAGTGGCAACGAAAAGCCTATACACATTAGGGATTTTGTAAAATGCATAATAAATCTCATCTCCTGTCTTGGCTATTGCAAACAATCCAGTTTACCATCAGTCGTATGTAGGTACCTCATTCAATACCGTGCTCCACTTTTGAAGCAAAAACGGGGTTAACATTGGGGTGGGAAGAAAAAAAAAACAAAGGTAAGATTTTTTTAATAGAGCTTCAGCTTTCAAAACGACTGCGTTGTCAGCTGGAATGACCCAGATTATGGGAGGAGGCAGGTATTCATTCCTTTGCAGGATAACTGTGGCTTGAGCTGGGAAGAGGGAACTGGGGGTGGTGGGCATCTACGTGGTGAGAGAAAGAACTGGGAATGGTCTTTAGGTACCACCCACCTCTGCAAATGAATCACTGCAGTGTCAAGCCTGCACTGATTCCATGAATTGTCAAACAGGATGAGGTAAGGCATAAGCCCGGAGCCCCCTCCTCCCCTTTTTTCCCTCCTCCTGCGCACAGAAGGGCGCATCCCTCAGCGAGGGCCGGCCGGGCCTGAAGGACTGACGTCACCTTTCTGCATTGGGCTCAAGGACTAGTAGCAGTACCAATTAGGTGGGGAACAGAGTTGGGGCACTACCGCAGCCACCAGGTGGTAGGGGTCCTCCTCTTTAAGCACTGCAGATTAGATTCACACAGTAAACACAATGACCGGATAGAAACAGTAAACGGTGGAAAGGAACCAGAGAAGGGGTCCTAAGACTCAGGAGCTTAGAAAGCTCAAAGATACCCCTGGCTTATGTAAGACCCTCTCCGAGCGCCTCCACGCGGTGGCAGAGCCTGTCCCGCATTAGTGCGCTTGGAAGACTGATTGCCCTTGTCCAGGCATGCAGAGGGCTCTCAGCGACTCTCACCCCGCAGCCCCACAGGGTCGGGACTAAGTCGGAATCTGGCACCAAACCCTGCTGTCCTGTGCCCGCTCCCAGCCCTCCACAGGTTAGACCCAACAGGCCCCCAAAACTGGCTGGTAAGGTAGGGAGAGGAGTCCAGAAGAGAAAACAGACAAATCCACAACTTTCCCCAGGGGCTGACCCTGTCCTGAGAGCTCAAGAAATTAATGTATTATAAAAATATTTTTGGAAGGGTTAAAAATCTGTAACCACCGCCACCACGTAGCTCCTTACATAGCTTTCATCAGACAAAATCGAGGGTCGGAGCAGCCCAGACCTGCACCCTACCATCCCGCAGCCCCGACTCAGCAGCCGGCGCCTGTCTCCTTATCCACCCGCTAAAACTGGGTTTGGGGTTTGGGTTTTCCATCCACCTTTCTTTCTAATAGCATCACCACACGGTCTGATGGACCGTGTCCCGGCCCGAAGCCAGGCGTGGGCACTCACCCAGAAGACGAAGGAGTAGATGATGAGGAGGGTTTTGAGACAGGTTATCACAGGTTTGGTCTCCATTCTCCTCGATGCCATACTACAGAGCTCCGGCGGCGGCAGTGGCGGCGGGCGGCGGGCGGGCACGAGGGAGGGGGAGGAGGCGGGGCCAAGGGAGGCGGGGCGGGGGGGCGCGTGCAGCCTGAGCTTCCCGTGCACGCGCAGGCTAAGCGACGCGCGTGCATTAGCGCGCGCCCTGCGAGGCTTGGTCAGAAGGAACAGACCTGCTGGCGATTCCAGGCTAAGAATGCAGCCCAAGGTTGCACTCCTGCGTGGACACAGACCCCCAGCTGAGGTGGAGCCTGTACTGGTTCCTGGACCGAGGCCGGGTTGGAGGTCAGGGCAAAACTCAGGCCACCTGAGCATTAAGATTTCGGCTTTGTACGAAGCAGGGCCTGCACCTGGCTACACAGAGATTGTATAGTGTGTTCCTGCGTTTGGACACTCAGGAGTCATGTCCTTGGAGATAAGCGCACCTGGTCTGTGCCAGGAACAGACTGTGACAGCCAGAGAGACAGCTGGAAAGATAGTAAGGAACTGGGGAGCCCAGAGACCCCCAAATGCTGCTATTTCAGTGGTATCTATAGGTTCCTTTTGAACTCGATAGTTTTTTATTTCTTCAAATTTGGAAATAACAAAACTACAAAATCACAAGATATAGCAGTATTCATATATATATATATATATATAATATATATAAAACAACAAAAGTCATTTAAACTACCAGAGAATCACTTGCCTCACCTAGTGAACACAATCTCCCTCCTGTGAAGCCACACTGCAGCAAGGAAGCAAGCCTTGAAAAGCAACTTGGTATTTCCTCCAAAAGTTGAATGTAGAGTCACCATAAGAATTCTACTCCTAGATATCTAACCAAGAGAAATGAAGGCACAAGTCCACGTGAAAACTTGGGTGTGGCTGTGTATGACACAAATTCATACTAGTAACAAGTGGAATCAACTGACAAACGGGTGATGTACTTATTCATACACTGGAAAGCTATTCATCTGTAAAAAGAAATGAGGTACTGCTGGTACATGCATCAAAGAGGATGAGCTTTCAAAGTATGCATAGTGAAAGAAGCAAGACACAGAAAGACCACATACTGAGTGGTCCACATCTAAAATAAACCCATAGAGAAAAAAATAAAGGAATGGTTGTTAGGGGACAGGAATAAGGAAAGAGTAACTATTGATGGGTTGGATGGTTGCTTTGATTTTTTGAGTGACAAAAGTGTAGTGAAATTGCATAATGGTGGTGGCTGCGTAGTTTAGTGAGAATAATAAAAATTAATGAACAGCATAATTTTTCAAGAATGACTTTTATGGCATGTGGTTTATTTCAGAATATAAAATAATATTGCTATACCTAGATTTTTTTTCCTGTGGCTAGTTCAAAGAAGAACACATAGTATAGATTCTGTCGGAGATTTAATCTTATTCCCTAGAGAAAGTACAGTAGGAAGCAGCAGCATCACAGGCTAGCTCCATGTGGACATGGCTAAGAATACATTCTGTGAAAGAATAAAATAATAGTCAATAGAGCTTGGCAAAGCCTTTCAAGAACAGCTGTGGCTACTATAATTATTACCTGCAATAAATTAGACATGGTTGCAGGTCAGTAAAGTCGCTGTACAAACAAGAAACAAATATGAGATAGAAGACATGGTGAAGAAAATGCTCAATCGTAAGAAAGAGTGCAGGTGAAAGAAAGGGAGACCTTGCAGCAACTCTCAATGATTGCTGCTCATTTGTACCACCTGCAGAGCTGAAAAGAAGCAGTGAATGCCCGGCCCATTCCTAGCAAAGCTTCAGCTGGTTCTAATACTAAGCAAGCTTTGAGGGCCATTGTTCTTGTTGTGATGAAATTAAAGTCCTCTCGACAAAAGAGATTTCTTCTACACCTTGAGCAGTTGCAGACGGATTGCTACAACTCTCTGGAGGAACGGGGAAAGGCTTCTAATGACTTTAGGCTCATAGCTGAAAAATATCTTGGCCATGTGTAAGTGATTTTGTAAAGTGAAAAATCCTAACACCCCCCTCAAGTATAATTTGATGAGTTTATACAGACTAGAGGATATTTATGGATGAAAAAAATCTGCTTCAACTAACTCCTCACCACTTCAATTTGGAGCTTTATTTTGGAATGTCTAATTAAGTCTAATTTCTTGAAAGCTTAGATTGTTCTACACCAAAGAAACTATTTAAATGTGTATATATAAATGCATACATATAAATGCATATATATGCCTTAAGTAACATAACTAATAAGTAAGTAAATTAAAATCTTTTGTAGACAGCCTTGCTAACAAATCGTGATCTGTGGTTTGGGGTTAAAAACATCATTCTAGTTTTACAAAGACTGAGGAATTTTCTTGCATTCACAAGTTTCATTGCTAAATCCAGAAAAGTCTCGCCCAAAAGAGGACAAGTTGGTCTTGATGAAACAGATGGGAACCACTGCAAAGTGACAAAAGCCAAAAAGCCTCAGGGCCATTAACTTATCATGTATTCTCTTCTTTTTCCTCCTTCTTTGCCAACAGCTTTGTTCAGTCAAAGACCAGAAGGCCAGAATGTTTATAGACTGGGAGCCCCTTAAGACTGAACCAAGCTAAAATTAGTATGGTCTGAGATAGCAACACAAATAAAAAACAAAGATAAGAAGGAACTGTCACTGAAGACAAATGTAACTAAGCTCTCTGGCTTCATTTGTTCTTAGTTGATCTAAATAGCACTGATTTCAGAGGTTGAATACATGTTTTTATTACAAATGCTTCCTCTGCCTTGTTGGAGATAATGCGTCTGGCATGTGAATTATAATGGTTGGCTCGGTCAATTCACAAACACTTCAATACTGTCTTTGCTGCTAAAAATCTGATTCCTTAAAAAAGCCTACATATATCCCACGGGGTGGGATGATAAATTTGGTAACTCCATCTTCATATCATTCTCGCACCTTTGCTGCCTTAACCTGTGCGTCAGACTCTGTTCAGGTCTGCATGTGGTCATGTTGACTAATTGAGAAGCTTTTTGTCCAAGGCTATAATAAGAAGTTAACTCAGCCTATTGACTCTTGGGTCAGCTACACTTTTTCTGCTCTGCCCTTATGATTTTTCAGCAGCTCGAGCATGGAGAATCTTTCAGTTCTGTTATAAAGCAAGAACATTTATGTGACATGATGATACTACTGGTAGCTCAGTTCTTACTGAGTGAGCCCCCTGACCCTTAGCCCACAAATCTAGGATGTCAATGCCCAAGAAGGGAAATATCTCTTGAAACTATGCCCATGACTAATGGACAATTACCAAATTCTAGCCCACCCCGCAGCAAATATATAAAAGTTTCTGCTCTTGTTTGTCCAACAAGCAATATGGCTCTCCTCTTGATCATTGTGGTCCCCCTCCAGTTCCAGGTGATGCTGGACCAGTGTCCTAATAAAGCTTTGCCTGTCTGATTTACAAACTATGGTTCAGTGTCTGATCCTGCCATCTGGTGTCAACCCTGTCCCCAACTAGTAGCATTGGCTCCCATTAGGAGAGTCTGTTGAAAATGTGAAACCTCAAGGCCACATTGCAATTCCATGTTAAAATTTCCCAGGATTTAGCTACAGAGAAGTGCCTGCCAGGGGGTCACTGATGAATTGCATACTTCAATATGTGTGTGTGTGTGTGTGTGTGTGTGTGTGTGTATAACTCTAGTACCCCAGAATGTGAATTCATTTCAAATAACTTAGTGGCAATATAATTATGAAATCAATATGGGGTCACATTAAACTATTGGGGGCCCTTAATCAGCAATGACTGGGTCCGTTAAAACGATAAGTAGGTAAGTCCATGTGAAGACTGAGTCACACAGGAAACAGGCCATCTGGCAACAGAAGCAGACATCAGAGTAATATAACTTGTAGACAAAGAGCATTAACAATCAATGATCAGCCTCAGAAACTATGAGGAGGACAGTACAAATTCATCTCAGAGCAGCAGCAAGAGCAGGTCTTCTGACCCTTCGATCTCATGCTTCTAGCCTTCAAGCTGGGTAGTTTATGACTGGTTGTAACTCTAGCTTCTGGGTGCCCACATTCACATTCACATTCACATACTTACACATGCATACACATAATTAAACATAAAATAATCTTCTAGAAAGATACACAGTCTGTCATGCTTTCTGGTGGCAGCCACCCTTATGTATACATCAAAAAGAATTGAAAACAGGCATTTAAGCACACAGTTGCATATGGATGTTCACATTAGCACCATTCACATTAGCCCAAGTGCTTCATCAGATCATGGATGGATAAACAAAATATAGCATATGTATGCACTGAAATGTTAATCACTGGTAAGAGGAATAGATAGCCTACTATATTCAAGAATGTGGATGAACCTTGAAAACTTTATGCTAAGGGAAAGAAACCAGACACAAAGGCCACAGATTCCATTATCCCATACATGTGAGCTATCCTAAATTGTACTTTAAAATAGATAAAGTGTAACGTTTAAGTTGTATTTACTTAACCATATACAGAAATGATATTTAACTACAGCGAGTCCAAAGGTTCCGCCACCTGCTGAAAGGGTGTGTTTCAGGAAGTAAAAGACATTTCTGGAGGCAAAGAGGAGTGGAGGAGTTTCTCCAGGCCTTCTAAAGTGATAAGAAGCATTTTCTCCATTTATCTGAAACTGAGGAAAGCTTTTACTTTTTATTATCTCAAAACTGGGCACTTCCTTAAAGGTGAAGAGAACTACCACCAAAGCCCCTATCTGGTCGCTGCTCCTATCATCATCTTTGCAAACTGTTGACTGTAACATTTCAAAAGAATCTTCAAACACAATCCTTAGCCTGCCTCTTGCCTTCTACAAGCCTCAGGAGACTTTCTATTACTACACTTGGGATTAAATCTCAAGTCTTTACCTCAGCTTGGATAACATACCTGTGGTGGTTCCAACTTTATCTGCTACTGCTCTCTTTGGCCCTGTGTTTCAGCTACTTTCGTATAAACCAGTGCTATGGTCTCTCCCTGCAACCCAGGGGCCTTTCCCACTACCTAAGCATGCTTACACACACACACACACACACACACACACACACACACA